CACAGACCTCACAATCCAGAAAAGTATGCAACTGGTTCACAACGTGAAGTTGTGCAAAGGCTCCCCTAGTCACAACTGCCACCTGCTTTTCAATAACAGATTAAAAGAACCTGTTGGGTACTTTTATTTTTTGCTATTGTTTTTTATTGACTGTTTTTACTGTTCTTCCATTGCATTTTGTCTTGTAATCCTTTACGTTTCTCCACTATACTGAAAAAGAATGCTATACAATATTGTTTGCGGATAGGACAGAAACAAAAGTAGGAATGTTGCATCGAAGTATCTCTAAGCCATGAATTATTTATTCTTATTGAAAAACCTGTCCAATCAAAGCAGACCACTGTTCAAGTTAGCAGTATAATTTATATGCCGTATTCATTCAGTGGGTACTGCAGAATTTATTTCCAGAGGTTCAGAAGGCTGCAGTCTTGGTCAATGCTATAAACATAGCATTGTAAAAACTGAGCTGTAAAGTTAAGCATTTCATATAGCAACAAGGATACAGAAAAGTTAATCTAAAATAGTTCAGATCTATTTACTTATATAGGTCACCTATTTCATGGCTCTGGTTTAGCTTGCTTTTTTTTTAATTAATTTGATTTTTTTTCCCTTGCAAGCTTTAACAGGAGATGCCTTCACTTTTAGATCGTACCAAAGACTAGCCTGGAGATGTGAGTGTGCTTTCAAATGTGTTTGCCTTTAATTTCCATTAAAAATATGAACACACACACACACAAACACACACACACACCTTGTTTATGTAGGAGTTTTGCTTCAAGCAACAATGGTGGAGGAAAGCTCCTAAAGATCATACTTTCTTATTTTCCAAAAGTTGGCAAGCGTACAAACTGAACACCCAGTTCAGATCTGGAAGGGAAGGATATATATCTCTATGGAGCATTGCCTTAAAGGCATAAGGCTATTCGCGGATGAAAAGCTATTGTTTCAGCAGGAAAGTGAATTTCCCCTTTCACTGCTGGCCTGCACGGCTGGCTAAAGGCAAGGAGGGAAAACAATTCTTTCTCACGCTCCTGTGGAAAGTGAAATGTCATACAAGTCCAATGCAACCAACATTTATTTTAGAAGCCAATAAAAGAAATCACTTTGGGGAAGCATCACCCAAACCCTCTGGGTCACCAATTATTCTTGGTGGTCTTTCAGAAAGCTTTTCTCCACAGATCTCCTAAATTGCTCTCTGCTCATCCTTGAGCTAAAAGAAACTAGAGCAGCCTAAAATCTACTTTCTATGCTGCCCATCTTTATCTTCCTCTAAGGTTCTGACTTATTGCCAGATAACAGTGTCTTGGGTGTGCCAGAGCACGCTGAGTGCAGCTGTTGGTTAAAATGTGGTTTTGCTTCCCTCCCCTTTTCCTAATATCACTATCACCAGCCAGAAGGAAGCATCACAACAGTGCTGTGATTAGTGGATGGTTTGGCAAATGGGTAGATCCCTCAGTTTTGCCAGCTATCATACTCAAATAGAGCTACATGCATTGGATAGCTGACATATGTAGTGTCAGGGCTGTTTGTAAAGCAAGAATGGTTTTGATGTTTAATATACAACTTCTTCAGCCTATCAGCTGCTAGGTGGGTTTGTTTTAACATGGATTCAGTGGATTTTCAAAAGATCACTAAACCAATACTCCTTCCTCACTAGTTGACCTCCTTTACCACACAAATCAACCTACGAACTAGGTTTGGGTATATTGGGTATATTGCATGATAAAACAGAAGAAACTGCTTTTCCTTGTTATAGCTGACCAATCAGCTGTTTGTTCCCAAAGGAAGCCATCCAAAAGCCTGTGTATGTGTGTGAAGATGCTATCTGGTAAAGCAGTCTTGTCAATGCAACCCTTCCACACTATATATTAGCTGCTCAGCTCTTCTGAGGAGCTTTAAGTAGGAAGCACCTGGTAGCTCTCCCCTGTTCTATCTCCCTCCAGAAGAAAAAGGATCTAAAGGACAGCAGCCGGGGCTCGAGGGGAGGAAGCATATGAAATACCAGCCTCAATGACAAATAGGTGATGGGCCATCCTGCCTTCTATGGGCCATCCCTAGAAGACAAACAGGAAGCATGACACATTGCCCTCACCCTTAAACTGCCACTGGTTGCTGCTGACTTCAACTTCAGCCACAACAATACAAGAGCACACAACAGTTACAAACTCAATGTAAATTGCAGAAAGTACGACTTCAGCAACAGAATGGTCAATGCCTGGAATGCACTACCTGACTCTGTTGTTACATCCTCAAACCCACACTCCTTTAACCTCGAACTATCCACTATTGACCTCACCCCATTCCTAAGAGGTCTGTAAGGGGTGTGCATAAGCACACAATCGTGCCAACTGTCCCTGTCCTATTGTCCCCATTTATTTGTACCTATTTCCTATATTCTTACTCGTGTTTATACTTATACTTATTATCTTGTAAGCGATTGACAAATCAAATATAAAAATCAAATAAAAAATAAAAACAATATGTTAGTTCCAGTACAGCTAACTACAAAGAGGCTATCTCAAGCTTGAGCTAAGGCATTGTGGCAGAAAAAATATGTTGCCAGAAGATGTTTGTATGATGCTAAGAAACAAAGAGAGAAAGGCCCTTAGGGAGATTAAATGGAGGAGTCTGAAACTCTGCCAAAGCACTAGGCAGTTCCTTATACAGAGATAATTCAGACTGCTAATCTTCAAGTGTTTTAGTTTTCAACTCCTTAGCCTTTGCATGACCGAGTCCACAGCAGTACATACTTATCCTGATCTTGCTTCCTATTACTGTATAGAATAATTGCATCCCAATGGCTTTGGGTTGGTTGAGGGAGGGGAGAAGGGAAGAGAGCAAAGAGATTCCGAGAAGAGGCCATTTGGATTTAAATTCTAGCAGATCTCCCTCCAAAAACCAGTCACACAGTGCAGCAGGATTCAAGATGTGTGAGCCAACTCAGTAAAAGTCATAGTTAGAAACCAAAGGGATCAGTAGCCTTTTATTCAGGTGGCCAAAAAACTGCCTCATGTTGAGAAGTCTACAGTCTCTCCCTGCCCACTGGACCCTCTACTTCCAGAGCTCATGGGGAAGAAGCCCTAATTGCAACAGCAGAAGAAAACCCAACACAAACTTTAATCCATCTTACTGTTTCGTAGTTTATAAACATTATAAAGAGATTATACACGATCACCAATAGAAAAGGCAAATGCTTGCTAAACGACAGGAAGACACAATCAATCTTGATCCTCTGTCAAGGCTCAGGCACATTCCAATTGTCAGCTGTCTTGCAGTTGCAAATAAAGGGTTTGCCTATTCCTGAGTCCTGGGGCAAACAGTGAAGCCAAAGCCATCTCAGGAGCAGAAATACTGTATGCTAAACAGGAGAAAAGTCTTCTGAAAGGGCATAGTTGTGGGACACATGGAAACTGCACAGAGGCTACCCAACCAATTAAGAGAAGATTCATGTGAACCCCCATTATAGGAGATGTCCATCAAAGTTCAGATGGCCCAATTTTTTTCAGAAAACTACTCTTCTGGCTATTCTGAAGAATCACGCGTTCCCTACTGAAATGAATGTTGATCTGTACAACTAGTTTAATGTTACATTCTTTGCATTGCCGTGGACCAAAATATTCTACAGGGGCTCCCAGCTTCTTTCGTAGTCAAGTATGCCTATAACTCAGTAAGAAGTATAGTACAGATGGTCCTCATTTAACAACTACTCGTTCAGCAACCATTTCAAACTTCTGGCTGTGTTGAATGAGTGGTAGTTACACTGGGTCTTCAAAGTTCTGACTCTGGCAGCACTCCACAATCGCATGATTGTGATGCAAGCACTCTGCAGCCAGCTCAGAATTCTGATTGTGGCAGCTCCAGTCACCTGATCATAATTTGCCTTTCACAAGCAAAGTCAGTGGGGAAGCCAGCAGAAAGCTGCAATCATGTGAGGACCTCATGTAACAACCCCGCCCCCATCCTTGCTCAATGTTGGTAACTGGGAAATGCAGAAACAGCTGTTGCTAAGTAACATGGGCTTGCTTAGTGACAATGTTCCCAGTCTTAATTGCCATCAGAACCCAAGTACTACCTGTATGCAACAACTTCATAGAGATTTCTAAAATTATTACCAAAATGCCCTCCATGACAATAAAGGCGAGGTTTATGTACAGCTAAATAGCAGAGCCAAGCATTTTTTTCTTGCTCTAGTCATTGCAAAATATTCCCACCTGTAGCTCAATCCTATGCATTTTATACAAAAGTAAATCTATTACATGTGTTTCTGTTGCAATTTTTGATTTGTTATTGTAATCCACACTTCCTTAAGACAAGCCCACGTTCATTTAGTTCCTGCCTTTTTCATTCACATTAACAACTTCATGGATTCAGGCTGAAAAGGAGTAACTGTTTCCAAACACACAGGAATTTTAACTTAATACTCCTTAGTCTAGCCTAGAGAAGGAAGACACTCATTATTATCAGAAATAAATCTTGGAAATTTGCAACATTGTGCTTTCCTTATATGAGTGAATGCAATCTACTCATATAAGGGGAAAAGTTCACTCAGGGGAAGTTCAAGTTACTGTCTGTTTACAGATACAGATAATCAGAGTTGGAAGGGACCTTGTGGGTCATCTAGTCCAACCCCCTGCCCAAGCGGGAGACCCTACACCATTTCTGACAAATGGCAGTCCAATCTCTTCTTGAAAGTCTCAATTGAGACTTTCCAGTGACCAACTCCAATGAAGCTCACATTCCTGTCACTGTATTTTGAAGAAGGCTTAATATAGAGAAAAATAAAACTCCTGAGAAAACTGAGATACTTATTTACCCGTTGGGAAGAGAAAGGGGGCAAGAAAAAATGTGGATAGCTCTGATGTTTGAATCATAACAACAATTTGGGAGAGAAGTTGAAAGTCAATGAGATTCCTTGTGCAATGTGTTTTGCAAAAAGAGTACTTATTTACACACACAGCCTATTTTAAGTATCCAAAGCACTTCATGTCCAGCCACCTTACCTTTGTGCAAACTTTGATCTGAAAGAGACTCCCTTTCTGGAGACAACCCATCTTCCAATTTTGTCTGCATAAGAAACCAAACAGATTAATGAGTCAAGGTATAGATTCCCAAATAAGAGGACATTGACAAGTAACAGCTGGCTAAACAAGAGGCTTAACAAGGCCATATATGCAAAACATTTCTTTTTTTAAAAGAAATAAATAAATCCCAAGAGATTTGTTGAGTAGCTCTGCAAGAAACAGTCAAAACAGCCTTCTTGTGATTACTTTTGGACTGCTACATGAGCAAAACATTCTTAAGTTCTAATCACAGTTCACCCTTTTTTGACAGCAGTATCAAGAGAACTTGGAAAACAACTCCTCTGCTGCTAACACTTGCAAGAATGTAAAAGGAGATAAAAATGATAATATTTAGAAGTTTAGACAATGAGGAAGTGGTCAACTGCTGGTTAAGAGAACACCATCGTAGAACAAATTATTCAGTAAAAAATAGTAGGGACAGAATTCTAATTTGGAAGCATTTTTGAGCCCAGGATACATCAGCTTAGAATTCTTCTGGGCAACATCGTTCAGGACAAGCCACTGAACCAAACAACAATTCCCATTAATGCTGCATACTCATACATCTATTCTTTTACCACTGTGCTGCCTATATTAGGTGATGTTTAAGTGGCAATGTAATATCAGAAAATTAAAATTGGGAATTTCATTGTCCTTATAAAACTGAAATGAATATTTTGCTGTTTTATTCCAGAGTCACATGCTGATAAGCTAGTTGGCTAGTGGCGCATATCCTATGATATCTTTTAAAAAGTCCTGTGCTCTGATGTAGCAGGATGGTTATATTGTTGAGTTTCTATTGCCATCTAGAGGCTACTAATAGTTCCAACATGCTTTTCTGAAGACTAGAGTGATTTTTAGAAGAATCTACATTGGTTATTACTTGGCCAATGAGAGGGCCAGCCTGGAAACTGAGCACAGCCATGTTACCTTAGAGAGCTTACTAGTCTTAGCAACACCCTCTGAGATCTTCTTGGCTCATGTATTTCACTGGATATACCGAAACACGTAGAGAAAGAAATATTTCTTTTCATTTAACATGTTACAAATACAGGACTGCACAGATTGCAGGTTTGTAGTAAAGAATAACAGGGAATGCTCTCCATAAAGCCTGAATTTACTATTAAGAATACAGAATAATAGAGTTATGCCATTTCAGAGAAGTGGCTATCCAATCTCTTCTTAAAAGCCTGGAGCACTCGCAACTTCTGAAGGCAAGAAGAATCAGGACTTTGATCAAAGGAACAACTGAACAGTTTCACTGTATATGGCCATATGCTACAAAGGGAAGATCAGCTTACAAAATTCATGAAGAATCTATGTATACTGTAACACTCAAATATCTACAGGTATATATGTGATTGGTGATTTTCTTGACGGACCTGGAAATAAAATTTCCATCAAAAAATCTTCTCCAGATGTTTTTATCTTTTGGATTGACAAAAATGGTCACTTAAAAAAAGAGCCTTTTTGATGGTCTATCCTTTCCCCAAAGATATTTTCTAGCTATACATATATATATTAGTTCCGCTAAATATATATGTATATATTCAGCAGAACTAAATATACATGTATCTAAAATACTGTATATATCTGCTGAACTGGTTCATCCAACTCTTGTTTTTGAGATTTTATTCTGCAAAGAATTTTTGTTATGATTCTATTCATTCCACTTATAGATATATAAGAAATGCATTGGGAAATGTATTCTGTAACTTTGAGGCTGCAACCAGCAAGATCCTGTTTCTTTGTAAAACTGATACAACTTTATTGCAACACACAGGAAACAGCTCCCAATCTGTAAAATAAATATAACAATTAAAGGCTTTGATCAAAAAGCAAGAACAACTGTCATCGTTTTACAAGTGTAAATACTCCATCTCACACTGGTTAGAAGTAATTGGTTGATTTGTTCAATCAAGTTTTAATACCAGTGTTAGAAACACTCACCAGTTCGATTAGTTCAGACATACTTAAGTCCTTCTTCCTGGTTCTGATAGACAAGTGATGCTTTTTCCTGAATAAAAACACAAAGGTTTCATTATGAAGGGATTGCATTCATTAATAACAGAGAAAATATATTTCAGACCTTAGCATAAGAAGCTGTAATATACAAGTCAGAGCATTGTTCCAATTTGTTTCTTGAGCAAACAGTGAATCTTTGATGTACTTACTTAAATTTAAGCTTACAATTTGAGGCAGGAATATTTTACAGTTCAACAAATGTTTAAGGATAAATTGGCGAAATATTGGAAATGTCATCCGATACCTGGGTCATATTACCATATGTGGTGGACATGTGCAGAAGCTAAAAAATATTGGACTAAAATACACACATGGTTGGAAAAAATGGTAAAACAGCATATAGACTTAAAACCAGAGATATTTTTATTGGTGATTTTATCTGAAGATTATAGTAAAGAAATAACATATCTGATTATTAATGTTTTAACTGCAGCTAGAATTGTATTTGCTCAAAATTGGAAAAATGAGAAAATTCCGATGGAGGAGGAGGTGATTAAGAAAATAATGGAATGTGCAGAAATGAGTAGACTAACATTAGCAATTAGAGAACAAGAAGAAAAGGAGTATTATAAGATTTGGGATTTATTATATAAATGGCTAGATAGAAGAGTAAGAAATTGAAATATATTATAATAGTAATGATATATTATAATTATTTTTGAATAAGTTATACTATGAGTATATTATGAATATAATTTAGTAAAAATTGAGATTTGCTTTTAAAGATAGCCTGGAAATAAAATTTAATTTTTCATGATGGTACAATAATGAGATAATATGATATGAAATGTTGATTAGAATCTAATACGAATGTAAAATTAAGAGGAAAGGGTTACAGATATTGTGCACATGATATATATACCAAACCAACACACTGTATAACTGAAAGATGGTTTTATTTGTTGTTTTATATGTTATAAAAATAAAAATAAAATCAACCCCACCCCAAATGATTCGGGAACTGAAGTACAGACTTTCTCCATGCAAAGAGTCCCCCCTACTGCTGCATTTTTGTCTTACTAAGAATATCCAGCAACTGAGTAAGGGACTACTTACTGTACAAGCTTAGTCAATTGCATGATGCCCACAAAAAGAGTTCTGGAAAGTATGCTAACAATGCTTAGCAAAATCAAGTGGCAGATACTTCATCTCAGTGGCAATCCACTAAGGCAGGGATGTCAAACTCATGTCGTCACGGCGGCGTCACGTGATGTAACGAGACTTTCCCCCCCTTCAGTTAACTGGGCATGAGCGTGGCCAGCACGTGACACATCTGGTCCGTGGGCCAGGAGTTTGACAGCCCTGGACTAAGTTATCTTCACTGTATGCACATGAATGTTCAGGTTACTCTTGAGGAGGTCATGTTAAGACTTATAAAAGTTACATTGTCTGGAGCAGAACTTACAATCTAGTGGTTTCTACATGTGCAGATTCCACAATTGCTACTCAGCCTGGCCCATTAACCCAACAGATCCAAAGGGAACAAAAGACTGTGCTAAGAACTATTTTATCATAAATAAAATCTATAGACAACATCTTTTACCAATATCTTATACCACCATCCATTTTGTCTTTAAGGTCACATGCTATTACCAATGTAGATTGTGGCCCAAAGAAGTGTGCTTCTTAATGGGCTAAACCCAGGGGTGGGATTCAATTGGTGTAACTACCAGTTTGGTGAGAGTGCAATTTGCACACGCGTGTACAGCTTTTAAAAAAAACCTATCAGCTGTGCTGCCCAGACAGCTGACAAGTGCTGTGCATGGATGTGCGTTTGAAAATCCTGTTCTTTCCTGCTTTTTCAACCTCAGCTGTGCTGCGCAAAGCAGCTGAGGTTGAAAAAGCAGGAAATAAAGGACAGCCAAGAGCCCGGGCGGGTGGGTGGGTGGCCCAAACAGGCAAGCAAAAGGTCGTAACAGCGAACCGGTTTGCTGCTCTTCAGAACCGGGCCGAACCAGTAACATCCCACCCCTGGCTAAACCCCACCTTTTTATGGGATACACATAAGAATGCCCAAACTCTGTATAATAATTTTATTGGGAAAGGTGATACAGTTCCTATCTCCACATCACCTGATTGAACAAGAAGATTCTAATTACGGGACTATCAGAAAACATGGTCCAAAATGCAGTGTCTTGAGGATAGAGCCATCCAGCTAGTGGTTCCATATTTGTTTTAGCTAACAATTAAGGACATTTTTTTTAATTCAGACCATTATTGAAATAATAATGCAACAAAATATTTTTAATGCAACATTTGTCGCATTATAGTATAATTGCCAATTGACATGTGTATTTGCTTTTTGCTTTTTCTGGATTTTTCAATTGATTTGCTATTACACAAATCTTATTGCTTGGAATTCAATTCCCTGGTTCTTTTTAGAGAAATGGTACAATATTATTAATAAGGTATACAAATAATTGTTACAAGACAGTGTCCTCTACTTTATAATTTGGGGTAAGCAGAAGATACGGAACTAATTATCTGACTGAGTCAAAATTCATTTCACTCATATGAGTATCTGAATGGGTCAAAGTGAGTGATTATCGATGTCTGGTAGAAACTTTTTTAAAAAGCAAGTTAAGAAGCAAATAATCTACCCATTATCTCAGTAACGTACATCCTGCCTCCCAACTTCAGCATCAGAGTGGTCAGTGTCTGGAATACTCTACCTGACTCTGTGGTTTCTTCCCCAAACCCCAAAAACTTTAACCTTAGACTGTCTACTATTGACCTCACCTCTTTCCTAAGAGGTCTGTAGGGGGCGTGCATAAGCGCACCAACATGCCTACCATCCCTGTCCTATTGTTTTTTTTTGTTTTTTTTATTTCTTATATGTATCCATGTATTCATAACGAAGTTTTTACTTACACCTATTATCTTGTAAGCAATTGACAAAAATAAAATAAATAAATAAATAAATAGTCTCTTTCTCCCTTCTCCACCCATGACATCCCAATATAGATCAGGCAGACAATTGCATACTTTTTAAAGGGAAAACAGAGAAGCAGCAGAAGGATCATGAGTACGATGGGAGCAACAGATCCTAAACTTCCAATGAGTTGGGAAGATGGGAGTTTGAAGAATGGTGTGAGCTCCATGTTCTCTGTCAGATGAGCATCCATAAATCCACAGAGGGAAGTGAAACTGAAAGAAATAAATAAAACAATAAAATATGCAAAAGGATTTGTATGGGAGTATGTGTATGATTTTACAATAACAAATGAAATGCATAGAAATCCACTAGAAGGAACTGTATACTGCAGGAGTCAAAAAGAAGGCTGTGAAAATATTTACAGACCCCTCACATCCTGGACATAAACTGTTTCAACTCCTTCCCTCAAAATGACGCTATAGAGCACTGCACATCAGAACAACTAGACACAAGAACAGTTTTTTCCTATTCCAATCTATTCTAGTCTATTCTAGTCTATTTCTACTCTATTCTATTCTATTGCAGAACTTATTCTCAAGGTGAGGATCACAAATTAAGACCTTCCCCATTGCAGTTTTCAGGGGGCCCATGTCTCCATGGTAGAAGTCATCTATTCTCTCAACACCGTTCAACTATTTACAAAGTCTGCACTATTATTACTATTAACCTTCTCATCATTCTTTATAGCCCATCCCTTCCCACTTGTGACTGTATGACTGTAACTTTGTCGCTTGTATCCTTACGATCTATACTGTTTCCTAGTATGATTTGATTGCTTATTGTACCCTATGACTATTATTAAGTGTTGTACCTTATGATTCTTGACTCTCAACGAATGTATCTTTTCTGTCATGTACACTGAGAGCATTTGCACCAAGACAAATTCCTTGTGTGTCCAATCACACTTGGCCAATAAAAAGAATTCTATTATATTTGCACACAGAAAGTTATGATTCAGTTCCTGGCACCTGCACGAAAAAGGACCTGATAACAGTCACTGCTACAGACAAGCCCAAGAGATTTCTGCCGATCAGGGTAGACACTCCTGGGCTCAACACAGGGAAAAAAATTGAGATAGTTGTACAGGTAGACCAGGGATGCGATTCAACCGGCATTACTACTGGTTCAGTAATTACGTTTTGTGCTAGCTGCGCGCGTGTGTAATACACCATAAGCTTTGCTGCCCAGACAGCTGATAAGCACTGTGCACAGATGCTCAGCATTTCAAAAACCACTTTTTTACTTCTTTTTCAACCTCAGCTGTGCCACGCAAAGCAGCTGAGGTTGAAAAAGCAGGAAATAAAGGTCAGGTAACAACCCAGGTGGGCAGGTGGGCCAAACAGCAGCAAACACAGAACTGTTTCTGTGTCTGCTGCTCTTCAGAGCTACCGGTTCTATAGAGTCGGGCAGAACCAGTAGCATCCCACACCTGAGGTAGACCTTGACTTACGACCACAATGGAGCCCAACGTTTCTGTTGCTAAGTGAGACATTTATTAAGCAAATCTTGCCCCATTTTACAAACTTTCTTGCCACAGTTGTTAAGGGAATAAATGCAGCTGTTAAGCGAGTAGCATGGATGTTAAGTAAATCTGGCCTCCCCACTGACTCAGCTTGTCAGAAGGTCGCAAAAGATGATCACATGACCTCGGGACACTGCAACAGTTATGAATCAGTTGCCAAGTATTTGAATTTTGATCATGTGACCCCGAGGATGTTGCAGCATTTGTAAGTGTGAAGAACAGTCATAGCTCATTTTTACAGTGTTGCTGTAGCTTTGAATGGTCACTAAATGAACTGTTGTAAGTTGAGGACTACTTGTAAAGCATCTTTCTCCAATTCAGTTCTAATATAAAAAGTTCTGATGGGCTCCATTCATCCTTTTACCCATTGATAATTTATTTTCTCTGTATCCCCTATTCATTTATTTTCTACCCTAGGTAGAGAGAGAGAGAGAGAGAGAGAGAAGAAAGAAAAAGAAAGAAAGAAAGAAAGAAAGAAAGAAAGAAAGAAAGAAAGAAAGAAAGAAAGAAAGAAAGAAAGAAAGAAAGAAAATAAATGAAAGAAAGAGGAAGGGAGAGAAAAAAGAAAGCATGAAAGGAAGAGGAAGGGAGAGAAAGAAAGACAAAGAAAAAGAAATAGGAAGGGAGAGAGAATGTGTGTGTGTGAGGGAGAGAGACAAGAAAGAAAGAAAGAAAGAAAGAAAGAAAGAAAGAAAGAAAGAAAGAAAGAAAGAAAGAAAGAAAGAGAGAGAGAGAGAGAAAAAAACCCTCTGTGCTATTATTTTAAATTGTTCCATTATTTATCATATATTAATATTTTACACCTTCCTTGCACCTAGAATGACAGTCTTTCTTTTGCCCAGGGCTACCACATATTTTTCAGGGATTTACATGCATTCAGTGTCTATAGTCCACAGCATAAATAAATGTGTGTTTAACAAAGTTGAAAGGGACCTTGGAGGTCTTCTAGTCCAACCCCCAGCTCAGGCAGGAAAACTGGGGATGCCAGACTCTGAGTAGAGGTCCTGGGAAAGGTGTCAGAATAACAGAATAACACTTAGAAGGGACCTTGGAGGGAACCATAATGCCATTTCAGAGAAATGGCTGTCCAGTCTTTTCTTAAAAACTTCCAGTGATTGAGCACCCAGAACTTCTGGAGACAGGCAGTTCCCCTGGTTAATTGTTCTCACTGTCAGGAAGTTTCTCCTTAGTTTTAGGTTGCTTCTCTGTTTGTTCAGTTTCCCTGCATTGCTTGTTTGCCTTCTGGTGCTGTGGAAAATACATTGCCCCCCTTCTTTCTGGCAGCCCCTTAAAAGCCTGTTGCCATTTCCTCCTTTCAGTGGTCCATGAAAGTACATAGTACATAGTATGTAGGTAATAAAGTCAAAAAAAGGTGAACAACATTTTTACAGAACTATAGATACGTTGAGGCTGGGTGTGACAAGGAGTGTCTGGGAGGGGAGGGGCCAGGTGAGGCACCCCTTGACGTGAATGACATTGAGTTGGCTACACCCACCCAGTCACATGACCATCAAGCCATGTCCGCAGAACCGGTAGTAAAAAAATTTGAATCCCACCACTGATGAGGACCCAAATTTATTTTTCTATGTTGACTCTGTAAACTGCTTAGAGAGGGCTGTAAAGCACTGTAAAGCAGTATATAAGTCTAAGTGCTATTACTATTATTCTAGCTGTGATTTGAATGAATGCTGGTAGCTACTGTTATTTAACATAGTCTGGAATTAGTGACAGGATCCTACTGTTCCACACCTGAGATCAGGATGGAAAAGGCCCAGGAGACAATGCTAGGAGATGATCTTTGAGTCCCATCACTGGTCTGTTAAAAATAATGGCATAGTCTCCCAAGAAAAGATTAAACACTCCATTAGCTAGCTGTCTGTTCATTTTAATTTAAAAATGACAGACAATTAAGAAAATTAGCACTGGAGGTATAATAGAAACAAGGTGGCACAGATGTAACATATTAGGGCAAGCAGCATTCCTGGGGGACTGGCATTGCTTTAAAAAGCTCTTTTTAAAAAGGGAGAGGGGAAGGCACTGCTTGTCCAAATTTTCCATGGCAGAATGCAGTACAATACTGAGACCACCAAGAAGAAGCTGCTGGAGTCACCCTAATGGCATGTGTTGTAAATGACAAACAGGATAATCCAGTTTGGGTGAGCCAGAGGGAGCAATACAGGAATCCCAGCAGGACAGACTTGATTTAATTGTCCCTCCCAGTTATGGCTTGAGCAAGTTGAGAAGAAAGGAAAGTGCAAGGAAGAGAAGGAACTTTTTATTGGCACCCGGTGTAAATTAATCAGTCAATTAGATTTATAGATGGCTATAGCTCAGTGGAAAAACAAATGCTTTACAAGAGAATGGCTCATATTCTACCCTGTTTATCTCTAAGTAAAGTTAGAAAGCTGCTAATAATCAGTGTTGAAAATCTGGAATCAAATGATCCAGTAGAATGACTTGATCCAATGCAGCTTTCTATGCCATAGCACCTTTTAGAAAAGTAGGTATCCTCTGTGTAATTAATAGAAGAGTTAACACTAAAAAAGATCCCTTCTGTTGCAGAAAACATTTTTGTTTTATTTCATGACATACTTGCACCCAAGAGTGACAGCAGTTGTTGGCTAATCTCTTTCTCTGCAATATGGGATGGGGGAAAAAAATCATATTTCCATTCAGAAGGATGACAAGGTGGATCAAAGGAACAGCAAAATGTAATGCAAATAGGATGGAACTGAAAATCCCAGGAGTGAACCTGGGTACTGAGATGTCAAATCTGCAGCACCCTGCATGCTCTCAAAATCTCTTCCCTATTTCACAAACACAAGGTCAGTAAGAGGAAGCGGAATCAGGTATATGAAGCTAAAGGCTGCTAGAAGTGAGGATTGCAAGGATGGAAGGGGCTTTAGAAGTCATCTAGTCCAACCCCTGCTTGTGCAGGATCCACTGGTGTATTTCTCATAGATTATCATCTGGTCTTTGAATACTTATAGTGAGTGAGAATTCATACTTCATGTGACAGCGTATTCCCCTGATTTACCATTCATGCACTCAATTCCTCCAGATATTTTGCCTGAACCTCCTTCCTTATAATTTTAACACAATGGCTCTACTGCCTTATGGAGCAATACAGAATACAAGTAGTCCTTGTTTTGTGACCGCCTTGTTATTTAGCAACCATTCACGGTTATGACAGAGTTAAAAACTAACTTTGTGATCAATACTTGCATTTAAGACTTTAGCAGGTCTATAAAGCAAAGGAAAGCTGAAAAGAGATTATAACCACAGTTTTGGTTTACTTAGTGAGTGCTTTCCTTAATGACTGAACTGTTGATCTCAGTTGTGGTTGCTAAAGGAAATTCAATAACTATCAACCAATCTTTGATCTTCCCTTTTTGGTGAAGATTGTTGAGAAGGCGGTTGGCTTGCAATTGATTATTTAGATTAGTTTCAGACTAGGATTTAATACTGGGACAGCTTTGGTCATGCTTGCCAATGACCTGTGGCAGAGCCAGGATGATGATGGAGCATCTATTCTTGTCCTTCTTGATCTCTGAGCAGCTTTTTATACTGCCATCTACAGTATCCTTCTCAGCTAGCTCCATGGGTTGGGAATTGGGAACACCCACCCAAGGACCTGGGATAAACAGGTCTTGTTGTTTTGACAGTGGCCAGGAATCGTCAGACTATATC